CACGCAAGCAACATGGAAGCTAACAATGGAGCTAAGGTCTTGCTACGAAGACATTAGCACCACCTTGGCTGCTGCTCTGCTCTCACTAACTCTGCTCTGGATGTGTTGCTCTCGAGGGAGCCTCAGATGCCACCAGCATTCCACCTGATTTGCTTCACTGTTGGTCACAGCTTTACAGTGGCTTCTGGGGAGGTTGTTGGATTGTTGCACATAGCCAAGGTTCACACACACACACAGGATTGGTCACACACACAGGTACAGGTAGGGCTCATGTCACATATAAACCCAGGGCTCACGTCTCGCCTACCTAGAGTTCACTGGAAGATCTCTCTCTCTTGCTCATTTACGGTTGTCTCATCTTAGAGGATAAGCTCTAACCGAACTCTTAAGCCCACACGTCCAACAGCCTCACTCCCAGCTCCTAGCTCCTAGCCCACAGCCTACTCCCAGCTCCCAGCCCACACCCTTCAGAACCCACTAAGGTCCCTAGCCTCACAGCCTGCTCAGGGCTCACATTTCCACCCTCAACCCTTGCAAGAATATATGCAAGAAATTCTATCTTGCACTGCAAATGCATTTATCCACTTCTGGAAGCTGTTTCTGTCGATCGGTCAAGCCTTCCAAGAATTCAAGACATTCAGTCTCTAGATTTTGCTTGTGTAGTGATCATTTATATGTTGTCTTGGGATCAACGTGTGTAATCTTTGTAATTTGTAAATTTATGTAATCCCAGAGGATTTACGAGGCTAATTCCGTAACCATCGAAGGCTTTTATACTATTTACTTATAGACACTGGAGATTAGCATAATATATAAACCATTCCTTCAAAAATAGATTTGAAATTATGGCTGTTATATATGAAATGTACAAAATATGAACTATTTTATTTTCTAAAATATATAATAAATTGCCTTTTGTACCATTGGAATTTTAAAGAACAAAAAAGCATAAAAAAATTTTCTAGGCATAAAAGACATAAAAAAATTATTTTATGTGGGGGGGGGGGGGGTTAACTAGTTAACTATGGCTGTACTTCAGGCCATAGTAACTAAAGGCTTTATTGTAATTGTGTGACAGGGTTGTAATTTACATCTATCTATCTATCTATCTATCTATCTATCTATCTATCTATCTATCTATATATATATATATATATATATATATATATATATATATATATATATACATACATACATACATATATATATATATATATATATATATACATATATATATATATATATATATATATATATATATATATATATATATATATATATATATATATATATATACATTATATGACATCATATACGAACATTAAAAAGGATTGTAAGTACTTCACACGTATGTACTTCAGGTATATACTACATCATTAATGTATTAATTAATGTATTCCCCCATCACTTTGAAAGTAACACTGAAATATTGTGTATATTAAATATAACGGATCTTACAGAATTATAATGGTAATAAAAATAAAAAATAATGCTAAATTATATTTTGAGCGAACAGAGCAATTTCGACGCTCGTGTCGTTCAAAATTAATGTTTATTAACACAAAATTGTGTCCAATAAACTTGAAACATATCATCACAAATTTATAAATATTATTAATTAATATTAAAAATCAATAACTGAGTTTTCTGTTTCAAAATAACAAGGATTTACATATTTTTATTGTAAATTATTGTATTTCATTATCTGTATCTATGAATTAGAGTATCTTTATCTGTCTGTATTCATGTATGAGGTTGGGGCCAAACGCTGGGAGGAAACGCCATAGAAAGAGAGATAGAGAGAGAAAAAGAAGACAGAGATAGGAAGAAAGACAGGGAGAGAGAGGAAGAGAGAGATATGAGACTTATTTACAAATCATAATTGTCTTAAAATTAAATGAATACACACTATAACCCTACCCGCCCATGACGTGACTGGAAAGTTATGCTTTCATCTCCCATGGGAGGCTTGTATCTTCATCTCCCATGTGAGGCTTGTGTCTCATCTCCCATGTGAGGCCTGTGTCTTCATCTCCCATGGGAGGCTTGTGTCTTCATCTCCCATGGGAGGCTTGTGTCTCATCTCCCATGGGAGGCTTGTGTCTCATCTCCCATGTGAGGCTTGTGTCTCATCTCCCATGTGAGACTTGTGTCATTTGGGCCACCATTGTCACTTGGCGTTTGCCTTTCCATTGGAGACTTTCGGCGTTGTGGAGACCTGCTGCATGGGTAACAGCTTCTCCACCCCCCCATATCAACCGACCCTGGCTTTGCGCCCTGGAGAGATGATGGATGCCTACTACTGTGACTATATATATATATATATATATATATATATATATATATATATATATATATATATATATCCATATACTATATCACCTGCTTCCAAACTGTTTATCCTGTGGCCGAACTAAAATATTCTAATGCTTTAAGAATTAACTTTTAATAACTAGTCTTTGAAAAAAAGAACCTTTTAACAAAAATTATCATGATGCTTCAATAAATATTAATTTACGTTTTGTTTTTAATTTGGAATATTTAACAGCGCTGACACAACATATAAAATTTGTATTTTGATATTCATTTTTTGAGCGAACACATTTAATTTCAAAATTGTATTAATATATGAATTATAATAATAATCTTAAAACACCGAAACATATTTCTTTAGAGATGTTTAACATGCGCAGTTTGTGGAAAACGGATTAAAATTGAGAAAAAGTTAACATAAAAATGTGTTTAAACAAAAATGATGTTCACTGATGGTCATTGATGTTCAATGATGGTCATTGATGTTCAATGATGGTCATTGATGTTCAATGATGGTCATTGATGTTCAATGATGGTCATTGATGTTCAATGACTTCATATGAAATAAATAACTATAAACATTTGCTAATGTTATTCAATTAATATCATTGTTATAAATGTTTAGATAATAATACAAATCACTGGAAATTGTCCCGTGGAACTGCTTTTGTGCTCATGTGTGATATATTAAAATATAGAAAAACGCTTTTAAATTTGGCAGCTATTTTGTAAATAGTGCTTAAAGTGTTGGCCAATAAGTTTTATGATGACATAATAAAATATAAAAGGCTGACAGTGTGGGACTTTTATGGAGGTTCAAATTAGTGGGACATAATAATAGAAATTCCAAATATATACCATAGCTGTCTTCCAACTTTCTGGTAGATCTTCTGTTTCCAGTGCCTTTTTATACACCATAGATAGTGGCATGGAAAGTGCTTCTGCCCCCCTCTTTTAGGGTTCAGGGAGAGGCACTAGTGGACGATGGTGTCCTCTGCTTGTTGACGGGTATAGAGAGGACGGAAACCCATGAAGCTGACAGGAGAGGAGCCAGATGTCAGGGGAGAGGAGCCAGATGTCAGGGGAGAGGAGCCAGATGTCAGGCAAAAGGACTTTTTGTCCTGGACGTCAAGTCCGGGACTGATATATGTAACTGGGCCGCCATGGTGTCTGCTGCTCAGTGGGGAGCCAGTCGTATCGCGGGCTGTAATGATGGGGGTGTGGGGTGGAGAAGGAAGAATTCGATGCTTTAGGAAGGGGATCGAGAAATCACAAAAGTAGATCAGTAAGAAGGAGATGTTTAGAAGTGTGGGAGATAAACCTTCCTTGTCACAGTTGAAACTCAACTACCTTCTTCTTCTTGAGATGATTTCGGGGCTTTTACTGTCCCTGCGGTCCGGTCCTCGACCAGGCCTCCACCCCCAGGAAGCAGCCCGTGACAGCTGACTAACACCCAGATACCTATTTTACTGCTAGGTAACAGGGGCATAGGGTGAAAGAAACTTTGCCCATTGTTTCTCGCCGGCGCCTGGGATCGAACCATAAACATTTTTTTGAAATCTCTGTGTTATATATATGTAAAACAACAGAGGTCCCAGGACAGATCACTCACAAAGGTTTTCCCACTCTGATGACACTCCTGGATTGTACCTTGATGTGGTTTTGAGAGTTCTTCTACTTCCCAGACCTGGCCAGGGGGACCCGGCTTGACTTGTGAGAGCTTGGTCCCACAGACCCAATATTGTTAACTCTCTAATATTGTCCAATATTGTTAACCCCCAATATTGTTGTGTGTCTGCCCTCGTCCAACTGAGGGGTAACCATCTTCTCTGAGACAAGATGGTCTAACATTTGAATGTTATCCTTAAGGAACAGAATGTAAGGCTCAGGCAAGGTGAAGACATTGAATGTCTCGTTCTTCCCGCTATCAAATGCATCAAATATATTGGAAAAGAATGAGAGTATATTTGTTTAACCAGAGCAGACAAGTTTAACATTGAGCAGACAACCTAGCTTAACTTGAGGAAATTTATCTAACCTGAGCAGACAAGTTTAAACTAAGCAGACTTGAGCCTGAGCAGACAAGTTTATCTTTCGTAAAAAAAATATATTTATCTATGTTGTTCATCACATAAACGCACATGTGTGTGTAGTCAGGTGTGTGTAGTCAGGTGTGCGATCTAAGAAAAGGAGCATTCCGACGGCGTCCTCTCTCACAGGTCTGCTGACGGCGTCCTCTTCCACAGGTCTGCTGACGGCGTCCTCTCTCTCTCACAGGTCTGCTGACGGCGTCCTCTCTCTCTCACAGGTCTGCTGACGACGTCCTCTCTCTCACAGGTCTGCTGACGACGTTACTCTCTCACAGGTCTGCTGACGGCGTCCTCTCTCTCTCACAGGTCTGCTGACGGCGTCCTCTCTCTCACAGGTCTGCTGACGGCGTCCTCTCTCTCTCACAGGTCTGCTGACGGCCTCCTCTCTCTCACAGGTCTGCTGACGGCGTCCTCTCTCTCACAGGTCTGCTGACGACGTCCTCTCTCACAGGTCTGCTGACGACGTCCCTCTCTCTCACAGGTCTGCTGACGACGTCACTCTCTCTCACAGGTCTGCTGACGACGTCCTCTCTCACAGGTCTGCTGACGACGTCCCTCTCTCTCACAGGTCTGCTGACGACGTCCTCTCTCTCACAGGTCTGCTGACGGTGTCTGCCTGCGGGGGACCTGAGGATGTCGAAGCCGCCTACCCGCTGACAGAGGTTACGGAACTGACGCCGCTCGACCACACCAGCCTGACGGGAGCCCTGACGGCTGACGACGAGGATGACGAAGCAGAGAGACTCGAGGACGAGGAGGACGAGGACGAGGAGGAGCCCTACTTCGATGCCTCGATGTCCCCGACCTACACCGCTTACCTGGGCAAGACGGCCACTCTTACCTGTATAGTCCACGCCGCCAAGAGTGACAAGTCCGTAAGTAGGAGAGGACAGGAGAGAGAGAGAGAGAGAGAGAGAGAGAGAGAGAGAGAGAGAGAGAGAGAGAGAGAGAGAGAGAGAGAGAGAGAGAGAGAGAGAGAGAGAGAGAGAGAGAGAGACAGAGAGAGAGAAAGGTGAGCCTACGATGACCGGATGTCAGCCAGAGACGTGCGCAGCTGTGCAAACCTGACGGGTTAAGACGTGTTAAGACGGGTTAAGACGTGTTAAGACGGGTTAAGACGTGTTAAGACGGGTTAACACGGGTTAAGACGAGTTAAGGCGGGTTAAGACATGTTAAGGCGGGTTAAGGCGGGTTAAGACGTGTTAAGACGGGTTAAGACGTGTTAAGACTGATTAAGACGTGTTACGATTTATTAAGACGGGTTAAGACGTGTTAAGACGTGTTAAGACGGGTTAAGACGGGTTAAGACGTGTTAAGACGGGTTAAGACGTGATAAGACGTGTTAAGACTGGTTAAGACGGGTTAAGGGTTAATGTCCCTCCCCACGGAAGAAGCTCAAGTAGTTCCGGGTCACAGAAGGGTCGTTCAGTGGTTGGCCAACTACACACCGGCGGCGCTGCTGTCAATTACTGGACAAGTTATTGAGACAAAAAAATGACACAATCTGAAAACAAATGTTATCGTTATCGGTGTAAAGTTAATGTGGTTTCCGGGGCAGTCATTCTCCCGCTGATTTACTGCGCCTCTTCCCTGAGAGAGCCGGTCGGCCGAGCGGACAGCAAGCTGGATACGTGATCCTGTGGTCCCGGGTTCGATCCCGGACGCCGGCGAGAAACAATGGGCAGAGTTTTTTTCACCTTATGCCCCTCTGTTACCTAGCAGTAAAATAGGTACCTGGGAGTTAGTCAGCTGTCACGGGCTGCTTCCTGGGGGTGGAAGCCTGGTCAAGGACCGGGCCGCGGGGACACTAAAGCCCCGAAATCATCTCAAGATAACCTCAAGATAGCCTCTCACATGCTTCAAGCGACCATCTTACGACGAGGACATCTAGGATAAAACACACACAAGACTCCCTACAGTAAACCAACAAAAACACACAAGACTCCCTACAGTAAACCAACAAACACACACAAGACTCCCTACAGTAAACCAACAAACACACACAAGACTCCCTACAGTAAACCAACAAACACACACAAGACTCCCTACAGTAAACCAACAAACACACACAAGACTCCCTACAGTAAACCAACAAACACACACAAGACTCCCTACAGTAAACCAACAAACACACACAAGACTCCCTACAGTAAACCAACAAACACACACACAAGACTCCCTACAATGTATGGTCGTGATTAAAAGCAAACCTGAAGAACCTAAAGTGTTTGAGGCGTAGTGTTACAGATGTTGGAGAAATGTTGACAATGGGTACCACGGTCACCCCACCCCCTTGGGGGGGGGGGGGGGGGGGTGTGGGGGGGGGGGGGGCGCTTCAGGGAACAACAGCCTGGCTTTTGTGTTTCTTCTGGGTAAACAAAACCTATTCACTGTTCATTTCAGACCCCTCGCTGATTCAGCCTTTATTCCTTCCTCCGTTTCTTTCTTCCTTCATTCTTTTATATTTTTATTTCCTTCCTCCCTTTCTCATTTCTTTCCTTCGCCTCTTTATCATATCTTTCATTTCTCCTTTCCTCCCTATGGGTCTTTCTCATTAGCTTTTTCTTTTCTCCCTTCTATCCTTCATTCTTTTCTCTCTCTATCTCTTTTAGTTCTTTCCCACTCTTCCTTTCTTCCTTCCTCTCTTCCTTACTTCCTGTCCACGCTCCTTCATTCTCTCTCTTTTTGTCATCCAGCTAAGTCATACCCATCACAGGCTGCTTGAACAACTACATATATATATATATATATATATATATATATATATATATATATATATATATATATATATATATATATATATATATATATATATATATATATAAGTTTGTGAGGGTACCACCTCTGGTGCCAATGTGGGGACCCATAGCCTCGGAGAAGAAAATAAAAAGTATTCAGAGGAGACCTTGTGGTTTCTCACTGAACACCAATATTATCTTCTCCTACCACCCCCATTCTTTTGTATGTACACATATATATTTACTTTATTTGAACTTTGTTACAAAAAAGGAGTTACATATGGGTTACAAAGATGGTTGTCATAGGTTGTCGAGTTCCTCCAGCTCCTCAGATGGCGGGCAGGAACCCTGGATGCAGTGCGCATTTCCCCTCTGTATCGCCACACTGAGGCGCTGGAAAAGAAAGCTTGCAGCTCTCGGGTCCCTTGTTGTTTCAATGAGCCTAGAACCCAGTTCCTTCAAAAAACCTTTATATATATATATATATATATATATATATATACACTGTGATGGCTTAGACAAGGTCCGAAACTTCGTTTATGTTCTCTAGTATGTTCTTGTTCTCTAGAATGTTCCTGTTCTCTAGTATGGTTCTCTGGTATGTTCTTGTTGTTCTTAGTTATTTTTGTTCTGTTCTGTTGTTTTGTTCTCTGGTTTGACAACAGGAAGGGCTGGCCAGACACTGCCTGTTGTGAGTGGAACAACAGGAAGGGCTGGCCAGACACTGCCTGTTGTGAGTGGAACAACAGGAAGGGCTGGCCAGACACTGCCTGTTGTGAGTGGAACAACAGGAAGAGTGGAGAATTAAGGTATAGGGAGTTAAGGAATAAAGAGCTCGTTTACCTGTGAATGAGATAATTAGTATGAACTCTCCCGGACATGTGTGTGAAGATCACACTGGCTCTCACTCAAGCCAAGAAGCTTAACCCTTCCTCCTCCAGAAGCCTCTGAAGCTTCTGTTTACCTCTCACTCCACCAATGAACCAGAGAAGCTCTTGATTACTCAATCAATTAGCTTTGTTTACATCTGAAGCACCACGTGTTTACCTGTGAATGAACCAATCAATCCGAGCTCTTCCTCCGTCAGGTGTCGTGGATACGGGGCCGGGACTTGAGGATCCTGACGGTGGGGCGATACACCTATACTACTGATCTCAGGTTCGAAGCGCTTCATCAGCAGGCGAGCACAGAGTGGACTCTCCGAGTCAAGTCCGTTCAGCTACGTGATCAAGGGAATTATGAATGTCAGATCACCACCAAACCCATCAGGACCTTCAACGTCTTCCTCAAGGTGGTAGGTGTGTA